CAAACAAACAAACAAACAAACAAAAATCCTAAATAAATAGTACAAATTTAAAAAAATTTAAAATCTGCCCACATAAAAGAAATACTGAATGGATGAACTCTATTTGAGATATATGGTAAGGCACACAAATTTTAAGGTACATGTACATATGTCTTTAGAAGAGGATTTTTAAAAAAAGGTTCTATAGTACCATTTCTGATACTATATTGTTATAATATTTAATTTTATAATCTATAAATTTACTATTCAAATATAAAATTACAAATGAAGGCTGGACCATGGGACAGAGTTACATAATTAACGAGAAACTGAGTTACTGTGTTATATTCCATGGTATTGGAAGGGGAAAATATCTAGTAAATCCAAGATGTTATTATAGAGGCTGTTATTTTCTTATCCCTCTCACTACTCCCTCTTGCAGACAGCTCCGAAGCTACTGTGGAGTCTAATAGTTGACACTTTTTTTGTTTACTGCTGCTGATTTGTAAGTTTTCCTGTAGTGTTATCAGTGTATGGCAGAGGTGTCAGGCTCCGTAACAACAAGTGAAAATCCTAGACACAGTTCCTAAGGGCCCTTTAGCTCACTCATATGCAGCTCTCCTTTAATTTCATGCATATTCTACCACTAACATAACAGAAAGCAGACAGCTCATAGTGACCTTCATTTCTTTTTTAAAATTATTATCAACTTTTATTCTTATCTCATATATTATATCTGATTGCTGTTTCCCCTCCCTCCACTTATCCCCCCCACCTCCCTGCTCACCCAGATCAATTTCTCCTCTGTTTGAAAACAAACAAGCAAGCAAAAAAGCTGGTTTCTTAGGGATATCCACAGGACATGGCCTCCATGGCCTTACAAGATATAATGAGGCTGGGCATGAACACTCATATCACAGCCACTCACAAGTACAGGAGGACCGCAAGAGGGAAAATAGTAACGGATACTATACAACAACTATAAACAACAGCAATGCACAGAAAATCAAATAATGAGAAAGAAATATCAACATAAGCATAAAGAAATTCTGTACCTGTTGAACTGTGGGGCTACTCTTACGCGAAGATTAGAGATCATTTTATTCCTTACACTATTATTAATACTAAAGATAAATTACATGCAAGTTTCTTGAAAACCCTTTATATTTCTGGAACTACAATTTCCATCATTAGAAATGTAGTTAGATGGATTTGGCACATTTTATATAAATAAATATCTACCTGGATGCACTTATACATAAGTTGTGCATATAACTAGACAACTGGGATATATGCACAGTCAAGAAACATGGTTATAGTAATACCGCTATTAAGCAATTGTTTATTTATTAAATCACATCCAAAGTTATAGTTACTACAGATGAAGCCAGTTAGGATTAATACCCACAGGGCTGGAGGGATAGCTCAGCCGTTAAAGGCTAGTCTCACAACCATAAATATAAGGATTAATACCCACGACTATTCACTTAGTGACCTGTTAATCAGAATAGAGAGAGAGAAAAACAAACAAACAAAAAAACAAACAAAAAACAAATGCAAAACAGTACAGGTTAAATTGAAAGTCAGAGAAACTTGGAGTGGGAGTTCTGTAAATCTTAAATATTTCTTAACTTCATGTTGGCCATGGTAGCTTATGTCAGAGGCAAAGGCAGGAAGATCTTTGTGAGTTTGGGACCAGCCAGGGCCACAGAGGGGAACAGTCTTGGAAAATTATTTTTTCCAGAATTTTATCTACAAGTCATACTGAAGAAGTTACTGTGATCTGTAAGTTTATAGTTCAGTGATTTCAATTTTACTGTATGGTGGAATAAGACCAGGAAACATGACTTATATTTTCTTAAAATTCCTAAATGGACATTGTTTTAACTAAGACAGCTTGGAGCAAATGGCCTTCAGAGAGCCAGTATAAAAATCAGATAACCGGTTTATTTCTATCAGGTAAGTAGGAGAAAGAGCTAGCTTCTTTCAATTTATAAAACACCAGCTTAACAATTATAATTGCCTATGCACCTTTTTAAATCTACTTGTTTTCTGTTATAATCTCCTTCAGAATAGGAACTCCAACTCCTACCCACTTATTTTTTAAACTTTACTATCTTCAAATTCTCAACCTAAAACTGTTTATACATTTATTAATTATATTGAATACCTTCTATGGGCTCAGCACTGTTATTGGCATTACATTATTTAAAAAAAATGGTTGAAATCAGTTGAAAATCTGTCCATCAATGGAATTCAAATTCTTGTGGGAGAATGTAAAGTATGTTGTTTAATTCATACATTTAAGTCTGTATCATATGCCAGTATGTTTTTTAAAAAAAAGAACCAGTCTCTGTGTGGGGCATATCAATGGGTTTTTATATGTACTAAGTTAAGTTTTTCCATGCAATTTCTCCTCCCAACTCATACAGTTAAAAACAGACTATAATGAAAGTCATATGCACTAAATATGCTTCTGATTGCCTGGTAAACTATCTGTTTTTCTTTGCAAGTTGAGAGAGACAGAGACAGAGAGAGAGACTATGAAGGCTAGAGGACAACAGACACCTGAGTATTTTCTTTGATCACTTTTTAAGGCAAGGAAGGTCTCTCATAGAGCCTGGGAACCCATCATTTCAGCTGAGTCAGCAAGCTAGTGAGCTCTTCAGATCTGCCTGTCTCCAGCCAGCCAGCTCTGGAATGGGATGTGTACCACCATGCCTGGCTTTTACATAGATACCAGAGATCTGAATTCAGGTCCTCATGCAATAGCAGCAGGAATTTCAATGACTGAGTTATCTTCCTAGCCCCAAATCAAACCACAGTTTCTCAATCAATTCAATAAGCTACGCTCATATTCATTTGGAAGAGAAGATATGGAAAACATCCAAATGAAAAAGAACATCAAGAAAATTTCTTAACTTTATATACAAAAGCTAAACAGTAATTAAGCCAGTACACTATCGGCATAGATATAAATATATTAAAGAAAAAGAATGAATAGCAGGACTATATGTGGGGATTTTTATACACCAGAAAGGTAGCATATTTGTGTAAGAGTAAGAATAGACTGTTCAATAAAATACTGGGCCCAAATACCCATTTGCAAAAATCAAAGAAAAACCCAACAACGATGGGCATTGGTGGCACACACCTTTAATCCCAGCACTTGGGAGACAGAGGCAGGCAGATCTCTGTGAGTTCGAAGCCAGCTTGGTCTACAGAGCTAGTTCCAGGACAAGCTCCAAAGCCACAGAGAAATCCTGTCTCAAAAACAAAACAAAACAAAACAAACAAAAGCAACAATTAATTTTCTACCTCATTTTATACACGAAAATAAACCCTGTAGTATACAAGGTCTAAAAGTAGAGAACACTACACAAGGATCAGAGAAGGGCCTATGCAAGACAAACAACTGGAAAGCTATCATGTTTATCATGAAATAAAGAAAGCTCGTGTGTGTACTTCATCCTTGCATTGCTACTTCTTTCCACTAACAGTAATGGTGCAAACCATTATCTCTAATGTGGTACTTTAGTCCTTACACAAAACCTTCCTGAACGTAAAATATGTTAGCTTTTAGGAGAATGGACCGAAGTAGCAGGGCAATTTCTCATACATTAACACTAAATACAATGAAATGATTTTCAACCAAGCAAGTGGGAGCTGGGTATTGGTGGTTACAGTTATTCAAAACCTAAACCAGACATAAAATACAATAGAAGGTTCAAACATACCACTGTTTCTGTGATTCTAAGTTGCACTGTGAAATGAATTTCTCAATATCCATAACCATTTTACTTAAGAGCAACGATTCTAATACCTAGTACAAGAATTAGAAAGTCTTAACCACATTACGTTCACTAAGCGAGGCAAACCAACCACTCTAAATGCATACGCTTGGTAATTCACAGAGCAGTGTGCTCTCTTTCTGTTGAATGATAGCACTTTGGCAAGGTATTCTTAAAAGCTTTATCTTTTAAGGTTTTATTCATTTGAATGTCTTTTAATTATGCACTGTCACGATTTTACATTGAAAAATGATTTGTAATTGACATACAGAAGATTTAGACTCTATTGCATTTCCTGTCAATCTACAGAAATGGAAGATATTACAAGTACTTCTCAGAGCTATCAATATCAGTGTAGATTTCTTCCATTTCTTTCAAAGGTTTTTGGCTCTCCCCCCCAGCCATTGTGCCTTAACACTCAAAAGATCCTCTCACTTTCTCAACTGGGTAACAAGCAGAAATTCTTTCTACAGTTAAATAAGGAATTTCGAAGTTAGGAATTATCAGGAAATTGATAGTCACCTATTTTCTAATTCTTTATTATTCAATTAAATTTGAGTTTCGAGCTTTATGACAGAAAGTTTCTATCCAACTTTTCCTGTCTTTAGGGGAGGAAAAGAGAGTTAACGTTGAGTTTCGGGGATATAGTCGATCACACCCAAGAGAAAATTCCAGGATATAATCAGATCCTTAGTTCATCTTTTTTTGGGGGGCGGGGGTGAGGGGTTCGAGGCAAGGTTTCTCTGTATAGGTTTGGAAATAGCTCTTGTAGACCAGTCTGGTCCCAAAGTAACAGACATCCGCCTGCCTCTGCCTCCCGAGTGCTGGGATTAAAGGTGTGTGCCACCACTGCCCGGCCCTTATTTCACTTTTTATAAAAACCTCTTTTAACGTTATTTGTTCTCTGACAACTTCAACTGATTACTTTCCACGAAAAATTCTATAATTGTAACAATGCGAAACGCTTATGAAAACAGTCTGAAGGAATTCTTCCTTCAGCAGTAGTAAACCTCAAGTCTAATTACTAAAGACATAGGCAGTAAGTAGTCCTTCGGGATCAGCAGTGGCGGCATTCGAGAGGAAAAATCTCCAGTTTGTGACTGGAGGGGTCGTAAACTCCCAACCTCCAGCCCACAGAGAAGCGGTTCAGACCTGTCACGCTTGCCCAGGCAAATCGCAAAGAGTCCCGGGCTTTCCGGAAAGCAGCTACGCGCAACCCGGCATCCTCACCTGAGGGTTCTCCCGTCCTGGTTCGTAGGGACCGAGGGATCGTCATAAACATGCAAGGCAGAATCAGAAGCCCGGCTGGACCCAAGAGCCAAACGACTGTCAAAAGAAGCCCATTAGCCCTCTGAGGGTTCCCCCAGGCAACCAGCCTTCGCGCGCCCGGGGACACCCACCAGTTGCCTAGGATTGCGACTACAACTCCCAGAGGGCTGCGCGGCGGACAGAGCGGGCCGCCTTCCCAGAATGCAGCGCAGCGGCTTCCCTGTCAAGCTCTCCCCTCTCCCCGCTCCGCCTCCTTCCCTACCCGTCGTCACCCGGGAGGGCCGGAGGTAGGGAGCGTCGTGAGCCGCCGGGAGGGGCCCGGGGCGGGGTGGAGGGAGGATGGGAGGACGGAGGGGAGGGAGCGGCGAGGGGAGGGAGGGTAAATAGTGGGCCCGGCAGGAAGATGGCGGCGGTAGCGGAGGTGTGAGCGGACCTGGGTCTCTGCCGCTGGCTTGGCTCTTCCCGTCTGCCTCCCCTCCTCCCTCCCTGACCGAGGTGGGCACCTGGGGGGCCGAGTGGAGGTGGCGGCGCCGGGCGCAGCGCAGGGGTCACGGCCACGGCGGCTGACGGCTGGAAGGGCAGGCTTTCTTCGCCGCCCGCCCGTCCTCCTTCCCCGGTCCGCTCGGTGTCAGGCGCGGCGGCGGCGGCGGCGGCGCAGCGGGCGCGCTTCGTCCCTCTTCCTGTTCCCGCACGCCCCGGAGCGGGCGCTCTCGGCGGTGCCATCCCCCGACCCTTCACCCCAGGGACTGGGCGCCCGCACTGGCGCAGCTCGCGGAGCGGGGGCCGGTCTCCTGCTCGCCTGGCGCGCCTCCATGTCGGATAACCAGAGCTGGAACTCGTCGGGCTCGGAGGAGGATCCGGAGACGGAGTCCGGGCCGCCCGTGGAGCGCTGCGGGGTCCTCAGCAAGGTGAGCAGCTCTCGAGGCCCGAGGACCCGCCGCCGGGACTCACCTGCCGCGAGGCGAGGGGAGCCGCTCGGGACCTGGGGTGGGGCTGCACTGAAGACTCGCACTGTCCCGGGGCGGGGGCTGCGGAATGTGCTGGGGTGCGGGGCCCAAAGGTCCGCCTGGCGTGAGTGCCTGACCCGGGCAGGGGTGGGATAGGAGATGTTTAGGACTGTCCTCTCCCCACCTCGCCACCCCCCAGCCCTAAGGAGCTTGTCAGCTCTGGCCGAGGACCTTGGGAAGCGTTGTGCTTAATCCGCGATCCAGTTTAGAAGGCAAGGTGCATCTGGTAACTTGGAGCCTAAGGCGGCAGCTGTCTGGGGTGTAGGAATCTGGGTTGGGCGGCCGTGGTGTCTGAAGTACTGGACGCGAGGGTGGTTAAATGGACCTTTCAAACAGTGTTGCTTTGGAGGTCCCCAGCAGAATAGGTTGGGGCGGGGTGGGGTAGCGTTCAGCTCTAGCGGGTTTAGGCAAGCCAGTCGACTGGGTTTGGCCTTGAAATCTGCGATAGTAAACTTTGAAGTGTGAGTGATCTTGAATGTAGGAAGTGTGTGCAACACTTTTGTACTTTACCCCTCCTTACCCAAGTTCACGCTTGGATAAGAAATATTAGTAGTAAAAGTTGGAACGTGTCAGAGTGAAGACCTATCTACCTGTGTTCAGGAAAAGGAGCAATTTTAGTAATACAGTATTTGTGCATTAAGGAAAGACATGTCTGTCTTCCTCCCCCAATCTCCCCCCCCCCGCCCCCCCCCGTACTTTTCCTTTTTTCCCCTAGATAGCACTTACAGGGCTGGAAATGGAAATGAATTATCTTAATAGTTTGTGATGTGTACATTTTACCTTTTTGTTGTGGGAAGACTCAGCCTTTTTGACTTACCCGTCCTTTCCTGTTAAACTTTAAGAAATGCGTAGAGCTAGTAGTGTTTCCAGAGTCGGGGCTGGTCCCTTAACAAGTTGGTCATAAGATACCAAGTCATGTGCTATTGGCCATTAAGAAATCACTCTGCTTCCAGTGTTCTTGAACATCATTTCTGGAATTGTTTGAGATTAGGATATTACAGTGTCTTTAGCTGAAAAAGCCTGCGACAGACTTAAGTATGTTAGATGCAAGGCTTCCAAGTGCTAAGTATAAGTTTGCATTTTGAAATGGTTATGAAATGGGTTGTCTCTCCTGATTCTGAGAGTTTCATTACTTGTCATTAGTTGAGTAACAGACTGCCATATTAATATGTTGTTCGAGTGTTTTATCAAACAAGCTATACTTTTGATTTTTTTATTTGTTTGTTTGAGACGGTTTCTCTGTGTAGACCAGGCTGTCCTTTAACTCACAGAGATCCTCCTGCCTCTGCCTCCTTGATGCTGGGACTAAAAGCGTGCACCACCACCTCCCTTCTCATTTTTGACTTCTTGATCTGGATCATCACTTTTTGCAGAGTGAGAGATTGGAATGACTGATGGGGGAAAAAGTCATATGATCTATTGTGTACAGAGTAGTGTATAAAGTATAATGTGCATTCATATAATCCTAGCACCCAGAAGGCTGAAACAAAAGGATTGCAAGTTCCAGGCCAACTAACCTACCTTTGTAGTAAGGCCCTGTCTCTCTAAATCATTTTTTAAGGAGTACTCTCTTTGGCATTAAATGTGTAGGAATAGATTGATCCAGTCTGTGAAAGGGAAATTGTTTTCATTTTGATTCTTCTGTGTGTATATAATCAATGTGAGTAAAACTTTTATTAACAACTAACTATAAAGAAAATTTTCCTGAGATTTAGGAATTTATAGTTGTATAGTCTAGTGCATACCTTTAATCCTAGCGCTTGGGAGGCAGAGGCAAGTGGATAGCTGTGAATTCCAGGCCAGCCTGGCCTACACCATGAGTTCTAAGAGAGACAGCTACATAGTTAGACCCTATCTTGAAAACAAGCAAACATATATGTATATGTATACACACACATATATACATACATATCATGCATACATATATATGCATAAAATTTTGGTTGTATATAAAATGTCTTATGGAAACTTTTGTGTGTGTTTGTGTATACACATGTATACACCTGTCTGGAGGCCAGAGGTCTAAATTAAGTGTCTTTCACAATCCTTCTCCCACTTATTTTTTTGAGGCAGGGTCTCAAAGTAAACCCAGAGATTGCAATTTATCTAGACTGGTTGATGGGAGCAAGCCCCAAAGACCCTCCTGTCTCCATTTTCCCACCCTTGGCATTATAGGCATCTGACTGGCACTCTATGTGACTGCTAGGGATCAAACTCAGGTTTTCATGCATACATAATTAAGTACTTCACAGTCAAAGCCACATGGCTAGAAGGTGCTTTCTAGAAGGTGCTTGTTTAGTTTTTGACATTACTAGAGAGCAAACCCGGTGGCATCATGCATGTGAGGCAAGTATTCTACTATAACTGCAGCTTCATCAAAGGAACTTTATACTGAGTACAGCACACTGTGGATGATGCATGTTTTTGAGCTTAAAGTACATGTCTTTTGTAATTTGAAACTTTTGTAATTTACCTGATAATTTAAGAAAGAGCTAGTTTTCAACATCTGTTCTTTTCTCTCTGTTGAGTTATATAGATAAGTCCAAATAGTAATCCATTTTCTTTCTTGTTTCATAAAATGGGAAGGGGTCTGGAATTGAGGGGATTGAAATTTGATTAAAAACTATGAGTCCAAAAGTTTTTTTTTCTCTTTTGCATGGCAATCAGAAATACCTGTGAATAGTTAATCATGTTTGTTCCAAAAGTACTAATTAAGTAGTAATTCCATGTAGTTAAGACCAATAGGGTGGAACATGTTGAGAAAGGTTCATACCTTGGTACTTGAAAACAACAAAACCTGGATAAATAAAATCTTAGCCAATGTTTTCTGGGTCTCTCATCACCACACACATGTTAGCTGCTTGCTCTCTTGCTTGAGACAAGCTCTGGCTGGCCTAGAACTTGCTATTTAGACCAAGCTAGCCTCAAACTCAGAGATACCCCTGCCTCTTGTCTTCCAAGTGCTGGGGTTTAAGGTGTAGGTCACTGCTTCTAGTTCTTTCTTTTGAAATAAAGCTTTGCTGTATAGGCCAGACTGGCCTCTAACCTGTGACCCACCTCCTAGAGCATTGAAATGCTAGGATTATAGGCATGATTTAGCACAGTAGGCTCTTTAAGTCCAACCATAATGCCGTTCTTTCCATAAAGCCTTGTATTACATAAATATTCAATATCTCTGTCCACTGAATCCCCATATCATTTTGCACGGAACCTGGTTCTGACTCTTATTTTTTGTTGTTGAATTTGTGATTGCCAAACTTAGTAACATGAAAGAATCTTTGATTTTCCTATAATATCTAGCATGCAACATTCATTGCCTGTATTATGAAAACAAATAAAAGGGCAGAGAAAAGGCATAACCCTGCTTTCATGGTATAACAGCAAATAAAACGTTTGAGTACTGAAGCTTATGCCATTTGTTGGTTCCACTATAAGAATACAATACAAATTATAAACACACAGTCAGTAGAGTTCCTCTTTTCACTTTAGAAGGGATCTAGAGAGAGATGCTGATGGTTAAGCTTCCTTATCTATGCATAACTATGCCTCAAACTGAGTTAATAGGACAAGCCAGGCACTGTTCTAATCTTATGTAATCTTAACTCTAAGAGAGAAACCTGATTGACAAAGAAACACATAGAGGCCACATAGCCACAATTACTAATAAAGTATAATAATGGGCATCAAAGTAGGATTAATCTATAGAGGTTCTTTGTTTGTTTGTTTGTTTGTTTGTCCCCCACCCCCCACCCCACCCCGGCAGGATTTCTCTGTGTAGCCTTAGCTGTCCTGGAACTCACTCTGTAAACCAGGCTGGCCTCAAACTCACAGAGATCCACCTACCTCTGCCTCCTGAGTGCTGGGATTAAAGGAGTGTACCACCACCGCCAGGCTTTATGGAGGTTCTTAAATGTTAGTTAGTTTGCCCCCTTTACTGTGATAGAGAATTGGAAATTGTCCATTAAGCTTCAAGGCTAGAGTCTCATTAGTATGCTGCATAAGTTAACAAGTATACTTAATAAGATTGTTCTTAAAAGTAGGTTAAGAAGGGTAAGACTTCTCAAGAATCTAGGAAGCTGGCCAGGTGGTGGTGTTACACGCCTTTAGTCCCAGCACAAGGAATAGCAGAGGCAGGCAGATCTCTGAGTTCGAGGCCAGCCTGGTTTACAGAGTGAGAACCAAAACAGGCTCCAAAGCTACACACATAAACCTTGTCTTGAAAACCAAGAATCTAGAAAGCTGATCATTTGTTTGGAATCAGTGAAAGTTGGGAAGACAAGGCAAATTTAAAGGTTGATATCAAGAAAAGATTAGTAAGATTCGGTGATAAACTACGGGGAAAGGAATATTGAGTATCCTGTGTAACTGTGCTAGTAATTTTCACTATTTTATCCAGCCATTCAAACAACATGTGAAGAAACAAAAGTTAAGTAACCTGTCCCAAGTTCTCCCAGCACAGGTAGCAAAATTGGGCCTGTTTAGTCCTGTATCCATTATTCTGTTGATGTATCTGGTGTTAAGCTGGCTTTAGTTTCCATGACTACAGAAATAGTAATACAACCAAGAAAACAGGAACACTGGGAGGAAATACACCTTATAGGGGAGGTGTTTTCAGTTTTGTTTGGACCTATCATTTGTTTCAAGTGGATATCTAAGTGCTGGTTGAGTAACAGACTATTAAAAATAAGGAAGTAGTGCCCAGAGTCCCCTTAGAAAAGAGTGAATTAAATTGTCAGCATGGGTGGGCTCCCAGAGATGGCTTAGAATAATGAAGGTTAGACTTCAAAAGCGGAACCAATCTCAAATGCGCTTACTTAGGAAATAGAAACATAAAAGATTTCTCAATGGGTAAAGAGCCTGAGCTAATGCATTAACAATTGAGTTTAAATTTGTGTTTAGAATTGTTTACATTAAAACACCAGAATAAATAAAAAACACGAACAACCAAGTATTCCTATCAAATTAGATTTCTGCCTTTGCCAGGTTCTTGATTGTGATCTTCACTCTTTGTATCAGGACCTTAGCAACACAAGTCATGATGGGTGATTCAAATGATCCAACTTTGTGTTAGTACTTCTGGCTTAGAAAAATATAACATAAGGGAAACTTGTAAATGAGTTAATCATTTTAAATATGCAGCTATCCGTTCTATATGGGAAAAGTTAAAACTACTGTAATATAATTATGACCATCATACTATTTTCATGGGACTAATGACAGGAGTAGCATTTTGGTGGTGATAGGCTTTATGCTTCTTCAGAAGACTGTACAGTATTTGGTGTAGGAGAGGGACTATGTGAACTAATTTGTTGAGCATGTTACTTTATATAGGAGTCAGAACTTAAATGTCTTATGGATGATGAAGGGAAGTTGAAAACATGCAAAGACCATGGAAAAAATTTTTAAATGTGGAAGAAAATGTTTTATTTTTAATTTTCTAGCTAAAATAAAATTACTGAAGGTCACTATATGCCAGAAACATGTCTTTACCACTTAATTCTTTTTATTGATTATTGTAATTGTTACAGCTTTTTGAAGTTTTGTATTAAAAATTTTTGGAAAGTTTCAATTTTTAAATACTGACTTTATTTTTCCCCCCTCTCCTTTCTCTTCTTTTCATCTCTAGTGGACAAACTATATTCATGGGTGGCAGGATCGTTGGGTAGTCTTGAAAAATAATACTTTGAGTTACTACAAATCTGAAGATGAGACAGAATACGGCTGCAGGGGATCCATCTGTCTTAGCAAGGCTGTGATCACAGTAAGTTCCTTTCCCTACTCAGTAGGTATTTAACAAGTATCAACTGTGTATCAAAACTGCTCCCAATGCTTGTTGTAGAGATGTGAGATCCTTGTCCTATGTCCAGGAGCATACTACTGTATACTATAAATGTAATGGTTTTATTCAGTTGGCTTTTCAAATCAGTTTAAGTGTTTCAGAATAAAAATAAAAAATGGCAGTAGGTTACTTCATAAATGGTGAGATTGCGACAATTCATAGGTTACTTAAAAAGTTAAGTTGGGAAAATACCGTTATTTAAATTATTTAACAAAACAAATTCATTTACCAACTTTTTCATATAGATCTTATATCATTTTTCTTATATCATTTTCTTTGATGGAGTTGAGAATTCAATGTTAACTGTTGCTAAATACCTTTTTTTTGTTGTTGTTGTCTTGCTTTCTGGTTTTTGTTTTGTTTTGTTTTGTTTTTGTTATTCAAGATGGTTTCTCTCTGTAGCCCCGGCTGTCCTGGAATTCACTTTGTAAACCGGGCTGGCCTCAAACTCGCAGAGATCTGCCTGTTTCTGCCTACTGAGTGCTGGGACTAAAGGGGTGCTGCACCATCCTGGCTGGAATAAACACTTTGAAAAACACTAGATATAAGCTCGCTTGCTCTTCCTCTCTCCTTCCCTCCTTTCCCTCCTCCCTCCCTCCCTTCCTCCCTTCTTTCCTTCCTTTCTTCCTTCCTTCCTTCCTTCCTTTTCTTCTTTCTTTCTTTTATTTTTCAAGACAAGGTTTCTCTGTATTGTTTTGGAGCCTGTCCTGGAACTAGCTCTGAAGACAAGGCTATCCTCAAACTCACAGAGATCCGCCTGCCTCTGCCTCCTGAGTGCTGGGATTAAATGTGTGCACCATCACCTCCTGTCCCTTCATTTAATTTTAAAACAGTACTTCACTTTTGTTTAGCCATCCTTGGTTTGCATAGTCACAACTTTTCTTTTCATACTCTATGTAGTCCATGACTTAAATAATGTTAATATAAATAATATTACATTATGTAAGAAAAGTAAATTATCATATAGAAACCAACAATTGACTTTTGAAGTATCTAACATAATTATTAGAATTAAAATGTTTTGTTATAACACATTAAAAAGGAGTATTGGTTGAGTATGGTCAATATGCCATAGACATATTTAATCAAAAGCAAAAACATGTTAGCTAAGACAGGATAATTTAAGGGAGTCAGTAGTTTAAAATCTAAAAATAGATATGCTAGGACAAAAACAATTTAGGTTTTATTGATCCACTCAAAAGTCAAATTTTTTTACAATAAATTTGCTTGTAAAAATAAAGGTATCCTTGGAATTACTGTTACTGTCACTTTTGAGTACATTCGTTTACTGTCACATTTGACCACATTCATTTGTTTTTCATTTAAGAAAAATCTAGTAATATTTTTTCATAGTAATATTTTTTCATATTGTTGTATGTCCTACATGTTACCTTCTGTGTATTCAAGTTAGAAAAGAAATCTTAATTGAACATCAAATTAGTAAAACAGGGTTTTACTATATTATTATTATAGTATTATTATAGTATTAATATAAAACCAGTACTTCCTTACAGAGACAATTTTTAAAGAAACGTTTTGAAATTAAAGGCTTTGTCTTGATTGTTATATGATAAATAAGTTTTTGACATTATTTGTGTGGACAGAATGATGAATGGAAATGTTCTCTATAATGTTGAAGAATCTTTGTATAGTCTTTTCTGCTCCCCTTTGCAAATTAATTATAGTATTGATTATTAAAATTGGGAAGATTTATATTTTATCTATATTGTTTCCTAAGTAGTAGTATTCCCATAGTGGATTGAAGTGTAATTATCCTATTTTGAACTATAGAATTACTAACTTTGTATTTTGGTAAAAGAAATTTTAATAAACACGTTTGTTGTATGTACTGGGAGGAAAAACATAGTTTATTGCATATATTTTTGTTAGTTGTATGCAAAACTTCCAGTATGGTACATAATCAAAGGAGTTGGTAGAAGAGTAAAGCAGTTTGAATACTATATGTGTGACTATATTCAGGGGACTAAACAGTAGTAAATAAGTCTTTAGACACAGTGAATAGGTATAGGAAGATATGTATTTATTTTTGTGATTGTGTTCAACTTCCAGTATGTTCCTTGCTTTTGGCTTCATGGTCTTTTATTATATATTTCAAGGAAACTACAAAATAGAAATGAATATAATGAACTTTTCAGCATGAAATTTACAAATAGATGCTTCAGTTTTTTAAAAAAAGAAATGAATAATAATGTTCTTTGTTAGATAAGTGTCTTGTTTTTGTTTTTTCAAGGTAAGTGCCTTTTGTTATATTTAGCCTTAATAAGGGCTGTTGCCTTTATCACTTCCTCTCTGAAAACAGAGTAAATATTAACATTGGGTTTGTTGACATGGTGCTATTATGGAATTACTCTGTACATATGTATGATATTGACGGTTGAACCCAGAGCTTCAAGTGTTCTACCATGGTCTGTTTTCCAGACCTCGTACAGGGTCTCACTAAGATACCCAGGCAGGCTTTCAACTTGGAATCCTACTGCATCAACCTTCTGGATAGCTAGGATCACAAACCTGAGATACTAAGCATATGTAAGAATTGTGCTTATATAGTAACAATTTAAAAATATTTTATGGTAAATCTAGTGTGTGAGCTTATTACCTTTGTTGTGGAACCTAATCCATTGTTACTCTAGTCCACTCTAATTCTAGTTTTAATGACTCATCATTATAAAAATCTTGTTATTTGGCCTGTGATACCTGGATGAAATAACTTGAAACAATGTTTTACTCCTGAAGGGATAGATTAGGAATATGTAGATGAAAAAAACCAACCAGCAAACAAAACGTACTCCTCCATTTTGTGAAAAAGAACTTTTCTCAGTTAGTAAAGCTTAATAATTACTTGCTTAAGACTCAGCCTGTGGCATAAAACTTGTCATAATGTTTGTTGTAATCAAGCAAATGTTTGCTAGACATGGTGGTACCGACCTGTAATCTAAGTGCTTAGGGTTGATGCAAGGAGTATCCTTAACTCTGTATCCAGCTTGACCACAGAACAAGACCCTGTTTTACACACACACACAACACACATGAACAAACAAACATAGATAGAAATTTATGGAGTGTTTAACCTTTTTATTTGAAATTCTTTTAAAAAAAATAACTGAACTTGGCTAAAAATATTCATGCTTTTTAAAAGTTACAAAGTAAATACTTATCTTTTTTTCTTATTCCTGAATTAAAGAAACACCCAAAGGTATATTTTGGCTTCATTTCTTAGACTTTGTATGCTTACACAAGCATTTTTTTTATATGCACAGCTCAGCTACCTTATTAAACTTACTCTTATGTCCTTTTTTTTTTTTTTTTTTTTTTTTTTCTTAATGCAAAGAATATTGCTGCCTGCAGAAATGCTCTTTCAAGAATCATTGCCACTATGGAGGCTTGGGAAGGGAGGGAGGAATGCCACTGAGTCTGAGGCTTGTCCTGGCTAATGATGAATTCCATGCTAGTCTAGGCTACAGAGTAAGATCCCATCTCAAAAACAAACACCCCAGGAAAGAAAAAAAAAATGGAAAATGAAGTGCTACTTTTATATTAAATATCAAGGAACTTAGGTTTAAGGATATACTTGTCAAACTTTTAGATTAAAAAGGTGACTTACTATTCCAAATTTCATAATTTATTCATTAGGTTTCATGACTTTTTGTCTTCTAAATCATTTATATTCTTCAGATTCTTTTATTTAATATTTATATGTTTCTTGTTTGTGTATGAGAATTTTGCCTACTGTATGTGTGTGCACTATGTGTGTATCTGGTGCTTGTGGAGGCAAGAAGGTGTTGCATCCCTTGGAATTTGAATTACAGTTATGAGCCACTACATGGGTGCTGAAAACTGAACCGGGCCCCCAGCAAAAGCAGCTGGTGCTCCTAACCATTAGCCATCTCTCCAGTCCCTTCTTACAATTTCTTGTACATCTTCCCTGCTCCCCCTAGCCCCCTGCTGATTTGTAAAAGCTCTTTATAGTCAGGTGTTTGTTTTACTTGTTGGGAGTATTTTCTTTATGTCGTTTCTTTTATCCTATAAATTTTGTACTAGGTGTTCTTATTCATTATCTTACTATATAGATAGCTGAATTTTCCTGTAGATTTTATGTTTGAATTTTGACTATTGGTTGAAATTATTTTATGTTCAAGAAAGATAGGAAATGTAGCTTCTTATTATTTTTCCAGTTAACCAACCATGCATTTTAATGCCATTACTTCATACTCCCCTTGAAATTGCTAGTTTTATTATATATTATGAAATGTCTTCAAATTTTTCTTTGTTTATATTTGGCATGTTTAAGACTTCTTTTTATCATATGTAAAATTGCTTTGATAATATTTCAGTAATTAATTCCTTAAAATGCTAATAATGTTTGTGAAAAGGAAAGATGTGGGGAGTTATTTGTTTAGGAGTCTTTGTTTATATTTACTGAAATTAAATATTATTTAATTTAGAATTTTGGTATGATGAAGCCAACAATATCTCTAGAATTAAATTACCAAGTGAATGGGAGTCTTATTTTTTTTTTTTTCATCAAAGATTGGTTATAGGAACACTTAATTTCCAATTTTATTTTTTAAGATTTTTCAGAAAAACCTGAGAGGTAGTGAAAATACTTGCTGCTGAAAATAAAAATAACATTAAAGCTAAATAGCTCTCAATTCAGGAGGAACATAAGAGAAACTGAAAGATTTGGGAAGAATTAAAGAGGTCAGGGCCAGCAAGATGGCTCAGCAGGTAAAGGAGTAAAGAAAAGCATTGTCTTCAAAAGCCTAGTGACCTGAGCAAATGTGGAAGTAGAAAGCTCAACTTCACACAGTTGTCCTCTGACCTCCACACCATGTGCATGACATGTATGTCTACATGCAAATTAATAAGGTTGAAAGTGTTTTTAATTTGAAAATTGACAAGAC